AGGGTTTAAGTAGATTGACAGTGTTAGCCCCCCCGCGAGGGTTTAAGTAAATTGACAGTGTTAGCCTCCGCGAGGGTGTAAGTAGATTGACAGTGTTAGCCCCTCCGCAAGGGTTTAAGTGATTGACAGTGTTAGCCCCCGCGAGGGTTTAAGTAGATTGACAGTGTCAGCCCCCCCCCGCGAGGGTTTAAGTAAATTGACAGTGTTAGCCCCCGCGAGGGTGTAAGTAGATTAACAATGTCAGCCCCTGCGAGGGTTTAAGTAGATTGACAGTGTGTAAGTAAATTGACAGTGTTAGCTCCTCCGCGAAGTTAAAATAAATTGACCGTGTCAGTTTTAGGTTGAGGGTTTAGGGTTTTAGGTAGGATTTAGGGGTTTAGGGGGTTTAGGGTTTTTAGGGGTTCAGGGTTTAGGGTTGTTTAGGGTTTAGGGGTTTAGGGGTTTAGGGTTGTTTAGGGGTTTGGGGTTTAGGGTTTAGGGTTCAGCAGCTCCCGGCTCGAGCAATTTTAAGATGAGTTGTATGTATGGAAAAGATATAACACCCACCCACCCTTAGAATCCCATAACATAGATAAATTCAAATTTCTTTTTCACATCACAGCGATCGTTCCCAACTTACACCAACATCACCAAAATTGAAAGACTTTAAGATGTTTGTTGAAAGACTTTAAGACGCTAACGTTTTAGCGGCTTTCTCTTGAGCCATCTGTTTCCGTTTCACAGACTCTTCGCTATAGGACCAGAGGTAGTTGGCTACGTTCCATCACTAGTTGATATCTGGGACGCTATCGTTTTGGTGGGCTACACGACGCCTAGGACGATTGCTTCCCTGTTGAGACATAACCTCCGCTAATCACCGGCCGCCCTGCAGTTGTCTGCAGTTCTCAAGCACAACTGTACGGACACCGAAACGCTATTATTTCCGTGGTTCTGTCTTCAGCCATCGACTGACCTACGACCGGACAAAACTCGAAATATCGTAGAGATACCCCGTTCATCTTGATTCATGCTCAAGCCAGGCCCAGAGCTGTAAGCACGCATTAGTGGCCTTGGACGCAAAAAAAAAAGCTGGAGACACCGGTCGGTACAAAGTGACATAAGGCACAGACCTTGCTCTCTTTAGGTCGGATCAAGCCTGGATCGGACGAGAAAGTTCATGGGTGAAGAAGAGATGTATCTGTACACAAACGATCATGAGACGAGCAACTCACGAAGATACTTTCTAACAGCCAACGGGGCATATTTTTGAGGCTGTGCGCACAGTGTCCAAGCGATGCAAAACTGACCTAGCTGACATCCTCACAATCTATCAATGTCTATATTCAGATGATGCCAGATGTCGCAAAAGAATTTGTGTCAGATGACTGTCGCATCACTCATCAGCGGATCGGTCGAAGTCGCCGGAGGAAGGTTCTGGACTCTGCGACTCCAGTTCCGACGACTCTTCTTCTTCGTTGTTAGAAGACTCACTGAAAATGGACAAGTGAGTATGCTCGTCTTCTGTCGGTTCTCCTACTGGCAGCCAGTCTGTCTGCCGCAGTTTTCCTACGTGGAAGACAGAGTCCCGGAGCTTTGCACGGGATACTCCGACATACGCATACCCTCTGTCGGGCAAGCGTCGGTCGAACCACAATCCGACTCCTTCGAGCGTAGCGCCCTGTGCCCGCCGCATGGTGGTGGCGTAGCCGTAGGCGACAGGCAAGAATTT